ATAGTAAGACAAATAAACTTACCTACTGTTCGTCGATATTGTCGGATCATCCAATGATTCCCCATCGCGTTGATCCTTGAAGTTTTCTTCGATTAGAGTTCGAACCAGTTTAGCGCCCGTCTTGCCTGTGTCCTGTAACAATTCAAGGAGATATTTTCTCTGCGAAAGGAACAACGTGTTAGTAGAACGAGTGACTTCAATACCAAGAAAATAGCTAAAAGAACCGAGATCTTTGATCTCAAATACTTGTTGAAGATAGCATTTCGTTTCTTGGATGCCAGATGTATCATTGCCTGATAGGATGATATCGTCGACATAGACTAATAGGACAACAATGCCAGCCAAGCTCTGAATGGTAAAGAGATAATGATCCGAGTTGCTTCTTGTGAAGCTTCGAGTGATCAACGCTGAAGATAACTTGTGGTACCAAGCTTTTGGCGATTGTTTCAGCCCATATGTAGCTTTCTTGAGCTTGCACACTTGTCCTGGAAGAGATGGACGAGTAAGACCCGGCGAAGGAGACATGAAAATATCCTCCTCGAGATCACCTTGAAGAAAGGTGTTCTTTAGGTCCATCTTGCTGGGTTACACGGGATCCTCGAACACCGGTTCAAAACCATGCTAGGATCTGGTCCCCGGGCTTACGCAGCGGAATTGGCGTTCAAAACGTTTTTGAACTGCCCACGGACTAATCTTTTTGATGAAGAACTTCCAAGAGAGAAAACTAACCTTTGAATCCTTGGATTCACAATCCGATTGCGGTTAGAAGATCACAACCAAGGTGTTGAGAGAACCAACACCCTCTTGAGCAGTCCAGACCCTTGGGATGGATTCCAACTCTTGGAATCTTGCTTGCTAGAGCTTGAAGAGATCAAATATCTTGTGTATGATCTTAAGAACACCGTCTTGAGTTTTAGAGAGTTTCTGCAACTTCCAGACGCTTCCCAAGGTCTGAAAGTTTGAATGATTGAGAGAGAAGTGCGTTCCCTACTTATTCCCACCAAGAAAAGCCAAAAAATCGCACTTTAGAGTTTCTGACGCTTGGTTCGGGGCTGACCAATTTTTGGTCCGCCGGACAAGGCGTGTAAAACTCGCAAAACAGCTTAGTCAAGTTCTTGGTCCAGAGTTGACCAATATTTGGTCAGCCGGACCAAGAACAATGTGTTGCCGACAGTCCCGAAAATTCGCGATCCGGCGGACCAGAAACTTGGTCCACCGGACCAGCCGTGCTCTGGACCATGCCCACACACCGACTGATTGGTTCGTCCAACGGGCTAAGATTTCGGTCCGCCAGACCAGCCATGCCCCGGACCAACACGAATAGCTCTGACTGACTGGTCTGGTCCGGCTGACCAACTCTTGGTCTGCTCCGGACCAGCCAGTTATTTCGACCATTCAGTCCGCCTCTCCCAAGTCCGTCTGGTCCGACTGACCAACTCTTGATCAACTCCAGACCAGACCTCAAAACAGAGAAAAATCCGATTTTTCTCGTCCGATCGATCTCGTTCATACACGTCCTTCCCATTTGTATGTGACCCTTTAGGCTCCTCCAACTACGGCAGTAAACCCGAGATCCAATCTCGCTTTACAAATCATAAGCAGTCTCTAACAAGACATTATGATTACCCGTAGCGGAAAGAGTTAGATGTGATCTAACCGAAAAGCCAGAGATAGCTCTAACGATGATCCTCTTTGTCTCATGATATCATAATTGAACTCATAGTTCGATTGCTTTGTCGTAACCCAAGTAGACTGTAAGAGATAGATGACATTCATCTACAGTGCAGCCACACATTTCTACAGTCTCACTCCTACGACGGGCCTAAGCGATATCTCTCTCTTTCGATAAGGACAAAGTTCCATCTTGACTATCTACTATCCACTTCATGATTCGTAATGTACCCGAGCCACGCCTTTATAATCATCCGGTTAAAGACGACGTTTGATGCAGTCAAAGTACATTACTCCTCATAATGGATACAATAGATATCTCAGATCTGAGGATCCAAAGTGAATCATCAAGTGAGATTCAAGTCATGGATAAAATCCAATCGACAATCTCACGCGAGTCATCCAGTCACTTGTTCCAAACAAGTACCCATGACCATGATCCGTATCCAATACACATGATCATCACCATGATCATCCATCATGCCTCATGTTAGTCTTAATTCATCGTTGCTCCCACAATGACAAGTGACTAAGAAATTTTGGATCGTTCGTAACGATCCATGGATGTCATTAGTTATCAAATATGCAAAATAAATAATGAACAAACAATGCATTCATCCAATGAAATCATCCTGTCATACATAGTTTTCATATCGTATGATCATCATAGAGCATTACAACCATCAGTCTCCCACTTGCTCTAAGTATGATCTACAATACATCTAAGTCCCATACCCCGAACGTGACCCTCATGCTTTGACGATGGGAGGGGCTTCGTCAAGGGGTCGGCTATGTTGTCATCCGTCGATATCTTGCATATGTGCACATCGCCTCTGTCTACGATTTCCCTTATGAGGTGAAACCGTCTGAGTATATGTTTAGATCGTTGGTGTGACCTAGGTTCCTTAGCTTGTGCTATCGCCCCATTGTTATCACAGTATAACGCAATGGGGTTCACAACGCTAGGAAACGACGCCCAGGTCACCCAAAAACTTCATGATCCAAACAGCTTCCTTCGCTACATCCGATGCGGCAATGTACTCAGCCTCTGTAGTAGAATCTACTATGGTGGCCTATTTGGAACTCTTCCAATAACAGCGCCTCCATTCAAGCAGAAGACATAGCCTGATTGCGATATGTAGTCATCTTGGTCCAATTGGAAACTAGCATCGGTATAACCCTTTATAGCGAGCTCGTCTTCCAATCCACCATATATCAAGAATAAATCCTTAGTCCTTCTCAAGTACTTAAGGATATTCTTGACCGCGATCCAGTGTGACTTTCCTGGATTCGACTGGTATATGCTTGTAATGCTTAACGCGTACGATACATCCGGCCTAGTACATAACATGGCATACATGATAAATCCTATTGCCGAAGCATATGAGATCCTATCCATATGTTCTCGCTCATCACGTGTCTTAAGACACTGAGTCTTGCTGAGAATAACGCCATGACACATCGGCAAGAGTCCTCTCTTTGACTCTTGCATTCTGAACTGATTCAGAACTTTGTCGATGTATGTACTCTGACTTGGGGCAAGAAGCTTTCGAGATCTATCTCTATAGATCTTGATGCCTAGGACATAGACAGCTTCCTCTAAGTCCTTCATAGAGAACTGTATTTAATTTTGTAAACCCATTTTGATCCAACCACATGCTTGTCTTTCGGAGGATACATCATTTCCCATGTCCCATTTCTTTCCAAAGCTTTGATCTCTTCAGCCATTGCTTTTTGTCATTTTTCATTATCCTTCGCTTCTTCATATGAATACAGTTCACTTTCCTGTAAAATGGCACTTAAAAAGCATTGAGATTCTGTCGGATAAGCAGATAATGAAAAATGAGCATAGGATTGAAGATACGGAGGAGGGCATCGTGGTCTTGTCCCCCGACGGAGACATGGTGGGGTCGACGTTGAGGAGGCTAGAACGTCATGAATGGGAAGATCGATTGTTGTGCATTCCCCTGTTGTGGAAGATCTTCATCAGAGGTTTGTTCTTTGACAGGTGTTGTAGAATCTAGTGTCTGCATGGGGATATCCTCCTGAAATCGTTCGTCGGTGCATGGTGGTTCGTCAATCGAATAAGGAAGACACAAACCTGCGATGTCATTGAAAACAATAGGGGAAGAAGAAGCTAATGGAGTATTAGGAGTAGAAATAAGCTGTGGCCCAACTGAATTTTCATTTTCAATTGAGGCCCATGAAGGAGGATTGACGGAAGAGTTTAGATGACGCATAGATGTAAGAAGTCTTCGTAAAGAAACATCATAGTCAGTGCCTGGTTGTGTAAGATTTTCCAACTCTTTCCAATTCTTTTTGTCAAAGTATCTGAATTCTTCCACAAAGCGAACCTCTCGAGAAGTAAATGTTCTGCGAGTCGGTGGGTAATAAGAAGTGTAACTCTTTTGGTTGGTCGGATAACCAAGGAAGATGCACTGAAGGCTTCGATGGTCGAGTTTGTCTCTTTGTCCTGCATCAAGGTACACAAAACAAACACAACCAAATGTGTGAAGGTGGTATATCGAATCCTTACGATGAAACATAAGCTCGAATAGGGAATAATCATCAAGCACTTGTGTTGGCAATCGGGTAATAAGGTAACAAGCGGTTTAAACCGCAAAACTCCAATAGGTCCTCGAAACTTGGCGATGGAAGAGTAATGTTCAAGCAACTTCCATCAAATGACGATTCTTTCGCTCGACGACTCCGTTTTATTGTGGAGTGCGTGCGGACATGACCTTTGATGCAAATGCCTTGTTCCAGAAGAAAGGTTCGGAAGGTTTTGCCCGTGTACTTCCCACTGTTATCTGTACGAAAACACTTTATCTTGCATCCAAATTGATTAGACACTAATGCACAAAAGTGTTTGAAAGCATCGAAAGTATCGCTTTTCCTCTTTAATAAAGTTAACCAAGTGTGTTTTGTCTTTTCATCGATAAATGTAATAAAGTATTTGTAATTGTCAACAGAAAAACATGGTGTCGTCCAAATATATGAATGAATTAAATCAAAAGCATTTGCATAAATAGTTGTAGAGGCATCCGTTGGAAATCCATATTCTAACGGGCATCCGTTGGAAAATATCAGAGGATTGACGCCAGGTGTGTGGAACAGATTTAATGTTTCACCAATTACAACGGGCATCCATTGGAAAGTTCCAACGGACATCCGTTGGAATACTGGTGACCATTCGATTTCCGCGATTAAATTCCAACGGATGTCCGTTGGGATTGAACAATTTTTTTTTAAAAAAAATAAAATGCCTCAAAATACAAATAAATATAAAAACAATAAAAAGAAACAAGTCTACATAGAATTTTCATCACTTTCATCATCCGGAGTTATATCATGGTCCGAAACGAATTCGTCGATATCGTCTTGTACGTTTGACGAATCATCAAGTAACTCGTCGTCTATGTCAGGAAGTGCAAGTGTATCGTCGTAATCATCTAGTTGGATATGAAGAATCAGATCTTCGAGTTGCTCTTGCAATATTGGTTCATCGAGATCTTGTATTGTCGACGAATCCACGATTAATCTTCATGGGTTAATCTTCAAAACAGCCGACCATTGATCTTCTCGTCGTCGTTTCACCGATGTCGCATAATGTTTCGGATATGGAATGAAGCATACTTGGTCTGCCTGATCAGAAAGTATAAAAGGATCATACTTTGCATATGAACGTTTCGAATTTATGTCAACACCTCCCCATCGATTTTTCCGTGAACCGCGTCCCGACGTTGTATCAAACCAATCACATCTGAATATGATTGTTTTCAACCCGACTAATCCTGGATACTGGAGTTGGAAAATCTGCCGAAGAATTCCAAAGAAATCAGGATATTCAAATGACTCGCTTTTTATACAAACTCCATAGTTGAACGTGGATTTATGTTTCCCATGATCGTAAGTGTGAAACGTGTATCCTTGGATGAACATTATCGGCCAGCAAATGACTTTTCTCCATATATATATTATATGATGAACAATAAAAACACACACATATAAATAGTACTTACATAGTCTCGAAGCCAAGATGCATAATGTTGTTCCTTCATTCCTTCAAGTTCCTCTCCACTAAGAATATGATATGTTGCCAAGCCATCCTCGTCAAAAAGTCTTAAAAATATGTTATTAGTAAAAATATATAAGGTATAATTAATTCATTAATAAAGTCATTTAATTTGTATATAAATATGTACCTTTTGTATGGCTTAAGTTCTTCACAGTTCAACAATATATATGTGGCGATGTGATTGTACTCTTGTTCAGTTAACCAATATTCTTCAGACTTGCCGCCGAGTCGTCCAGTAGTTAGAAAACTTTCGGGAATAAGTCCGAAACATGAATCATATTGGTAAAGATAACTTCTATCGTCTTCGTTGGTAGACCTCCTTTTTTTCGTCTAGATATGAGATTCAAAATAGAAAGAACTGAAGTAGGAGATCTCCTCTAACAAATAATGTTTGACGATAGATCCTTCCACCGCTGCTTTGTTTTTTGCCTTCTTTTTTAGATGGAAAAAAAATCGCTCAAATGGATACATCCATCTAAACTGTACTGGACCTCCGTATATCGTCTCATCTGGTAAATGAATAGGTAAATGTTCCATCACATCAAAAAATGAAGGTGAAAATACCTTTTTCAAGGCGCAAAGTATCTCAAGGATGTTGTCTTTCAAAACCTCTAGGTTACTTCTTTTCAGAGATCTTACACATATATCTCGGAAGAATGTGCTGATACCGCATAATGCTCTGTGGACACTTGGTTTCAATAGCTCCGCAAATGCAATGGGAATGAGTCTTTGCATGAATACATGGCAATCATGACTGTTTTAACCATTTAAACAAAACTGTTTTACCTGGTCTTGTGAGTCTGAATATCGGCACTGGTGTGTGACCATCACGTGTCAACTCCAACTCTTTTCTCTTGCATATATCTTTCAAGTCCTTCCTCGAGTTGATGTTGTCTTTACTTCTCCCTGGCACATTCAGAACGGTGTTGATGATGTTATCAAAAAGGTTTTTCTCTATATGCATAACATCCAGATTGTGTCGAAGCGTTAGCAAACTCCAGTAAGGCAAATCTCAAAAAATACTACGCTTATACCAGTTATATCAATCACCAAATCCTTTGCACTTCTTATGCCCAAAATTACCTCCACATTGCACAGAAGCTTGCAAATCATCTAAATATCCACTATTTATTCGCTCAGAATAAATTTGCTCTCCGGTTTGCATAACAGGTCCTTCCTCTGTAACGATTTTACATTTGGTAAAAAGCATACGATTTTGTCTGAATGGATGATTCCTTGGAAGAAATCTGCGATGACAGTCAAACCAGCACGACTTTCTCCCATGTCTCAACTGAAATGCTTTGGTTTTCTCCATGCAAAACGGACATGCAAGTCTTCCATGTGTGCTCCATCCTGATAACAACCGCTCTAAATGTAAAATTTTGTTTCACACTTACGTCGTAAGCAGGGACTCCAATATCTCACAAATCCTTCAACTCCTTAATGAGCGGTTGTAAATACACATCAAAACTCTTCTTCAGATGTTCTGGGCCAGGAATCAACAATGTCAAAACATAAATTCTCTTTTCATGCACATCTCAGATGGTAAGTTGTACGGAGAAAATATAACGGGCCATAATGAATACTACATGCCAGACTGTCCGTACGGACTAAAGCCATCAGTGCACAAACAAAGATACACATTCCTAGGCTCAACAGCAAATTGAGGAAATATCATGTTGAAGTTTTTCCACGCCAAAGCATCCGATGGATGTTGCATTTCTCCATCAACGGCAGAATGCGAGGCATGCCATCTCATATGCGAAGCCGTTTGTTGTGATTCATACAAACGCTTCAATCTGTACGATACCGGCATATAGAACATCTTTTTATACGGAGTTTGTCTCCGTACATTCTTACTCGGACGGTATCTATTAGCCCCACAGAATTTACACTTAACCAATTCTTTTTCTTCACCCCAGTAGAGCATGCAACCATTTTTGCAAACATCAATCTTTTCATAAGGCATTCCCAAATTCTTCAACATAGTCTTCGTATCATAATACATTCTGGAGCTTCGTTATTTACAGGTAAATACTCACGCAATATTTGACAAAATGAATCCATGCAACTTTTGGTGACATTGTAATCCGTTTTCATACTCATCAATCTTGATGTGAGAGATAAACGAGACTGACCTTCTTTACATCCTTCATAGATAGGATGATTTGCCATATGCAACATGTCGAAAAACCGTTTTGTTTCGACGTTTGGCTCCTCCTCTTGTGATGAGTTTTGATCAACCAATGCCCCAGGAAAAGCATCTGTCACCTTTTCAACATAAGGATTTCTTATAACTTCATCTACATCATACCTCTGATCGGCCGACACATGTTGTCCCGTTACTGTGATTGTCCGAACTTCTTCTCCATGAAATCACCAAATGTAATAGTCTTCCACAAATCCCCTTCGAAATAGATATTTACAAACATCTTCTTGACTGTGATATTTAAAATTGTGACAACTTGTACATGAACATAACATTTTTCCACGTTCTTGGCACAACGGCTGCATGGAAGCAAAATTCATAAATTGTTCCAAACCGGTAATGAATTCTTGTGTTACCTCTTTTGTAATCGGATTAACTCTTTCATATATCCACTGTCGGGATGAACAAATATTCGGATTTGTTGAAGAAGCCATTTTTGGAAGAATTGTTGGTGTAAAGATAGTAGAAGAATGATTTAGAGAGTGGTTTTGGAGAAAAATGGTTGGATGGTTTAAATAGAGAAAATTCCAACGGACATCCGTTAGAAATCCGTTGAATTTCGTCGACCGTTAAAGATTCCAACGGATGTCCGTTGGAATAATTAACGTTCGACTAGTTCCAACGGACATCCGTTGGAATCCTTCCTGCGTTTGATAACGTTCGGATTATTCCAACGGGAGCCCGTTGGAACTAGTCGAACGTTATTTCCAACGGAATGCCCATCGAAATTTGCGTGGAAAATGTCCAACACTGATATCCGTTGATGTGCTGTTGAAAATTTTCAACGGATTTCTAACGGACGTGTCCGTTATACATCTGTGGGAATTCCGTTAGAAATCCGTTGGAATATTGCCAACGGACATCCGTTGGAAAAATCCGTTGGAATTTGGCATTTTTTTGTAGTGCCCAAATCCCTCAATCAAGATGCACTGCAATTAAGTTTATGAATCACTTGACTAAACATGCTGATTTTAGGTTGCATGTTTTGGAGAATTGGAACAGCGGGTGCATCCAGGGCACTCACATGTACCGTCTTGCTACAAAATAGAAAAGGCTTAAAGGGGAGCTACGTATCCTGAATAGAGAATCTTTTAGAAATATTCAAGTAAGGGTTGAGCAAGCATTAGAGAACCTTAAGGTTGCTCAACATAATCTCCTGATTGATCCATCACCAGCAACAGTCGAGCATGAATCAAGGTTGAGGACACAGTGGGCTTTTCTGTTCAAGGCCAAGGAAACTTTCCTCAAGCAGAAGTCCAGAATCCAATGGCCTTCCGAGGGGAATCATAATACAAAGTTTTTTCATCGGATTGTGGTTCCTAGGTAGTCAACTAATGCTATCCGATTGCTGATAAATGATGCAGGTTAGCGTATCTATAAGGAGAAAGAACTTAAGAGAATGACTATTGAGCATTTCAGGAATATTCTCGGAGCTTGATGTCGCAAATCTAGGTGTAGAAATATGATCAACTAATAATATCCTAGTCTCAACAATTAACCGCAAGTGTACGGATCGTGTATAGTAGCTAGGGTCGAACACACGGACAAAATTAAGCAAAAGAGTTAAACCCAAATCCAAATCTAAATCCAAGAAAAATAATAGGAATGTGCAGAATGGAATGTCGAGAACAAAACAATTAACTAAAACGAGTGTAGACAATCAATGGAAAACGCTGCAGGCTTCGAGATTGCTTTACATGCAAGGATCTTTCAAAAGATGCAAACGAAGTGGTTTATCTATCCAATTCAGGGAACTCAAGCTCTAAAGTAGAGATTGTTGGGTTTTCGGGGATCTCTAGAGCGAATCCTATTCCTAAGAGATCGATTCTAGGGTTTGCGCAGCGGATGTAAAACAAAAAATTTAATAAACCCTAGAACCATGCTTCTAATGAATCGTAGAAACGTTAGAACGCTTACCTCAATCGATCCGGGGCCTGTATCAATCGAAGAACACGTCTGATCACGAAAGGCAGGAAATTACCTCGCCCTCTACACGTATCCACACGTCGGGATGGATTCCAACACCTTGGAACTTGTCTGCTAGGACTAGAGATCTCGATCTCTCTTGTGTGCAAGGTTTTTGGAGGCTTAGAGTTTTATTTTTCTTCTCCTTTTTTTTCTTTTTTTTCTTCTTTTTAAACTTAAAACCCTAGAAGACATTCTCCTTATATAGACTTTCCAAAAATCCTAATTTGACAAGGAATAGATTACTAGGAATCCTAATCTAATTAGGTTTCCTAAACCTATTAGAATTCTAATCTCATTAGGTTTCCTAGATGTAATAGAATTCTAATCTCATTAGGATTCCTATACATAATAGGATTCCTAATCCCATTAGGATTCCTATTCCAATTAGGAATCTCAATCCAATTAGGATTCCTAATCGGGATAATTTAGCACACGTACTTGTCCATCCCTATTGTGTGTGACCCTGTAGGCTCATCCGGAATAGCAGTAAAACGCAGAATCTCCATTCCGATAATACAAGTCATAGGCGGTCTCTAGCAAGACACTATAACTACCTATCTCGAATAGAGTTTGTTTGTGATCATACGAAAGCCAATGATGATTCCGACTGATGATCCTTTTGTATCGCGATATCATATGTCGAACATAAGGCATGGACAAGCCACCTTATCTGATTCGACTGCTTTCTCGTTCACTGAGTTCGACTGTCTGAAATAGACGACGTTCGTCTATAGTGCGGCCACACATTTCTACAGTCTTGCTCACACGAGGGGCCCAGCGATATCTCTCTCTTTTACGAGAGGTACAAATCCCGTCTTGACTATCTACAATCCAGTACATGATTCGTTTCGTACCTGATACACGCCTTTATAGTCCTCCTGTTACGCAGGACGTTTGACGTAATCAAAGCACGCAACTCCTCATGTTGGATTCTGTAGATATCTCAGGTCTTAGGATCCAATCATAGAATCGTCGTATGAGATTCAAGTCATGACGCTAGTCCATGTGACAATCTCATGCGGGTCAGTCCAGTATTCCGTTCTGCAACGAATACCTATGATTGTGATCGTATCCAATACCTATGATCATCTATGAATGATACTAAACTCCCTAGTCTTATGTCATTATGGGAATAACAACATAATA